CTTTTAGGTTTATATACTAAAACTAATTAATTAAAAACAAATATCGTAAAACCTTTAACAGTTCAATGCGTTGATAGTATAGTGGTTAGTATTTTCGCCTTCCAAGCGAAAGACCTGGGTTCAATTCCCGGTCAACGCAACCCTTTTCCGATTTTTTATTAATATCGGAAAAATTATTTTTCCGTTTAACTTATTACAGTAATAAGGAAATTTATCTAGTATCTTAATAGTAGAGTAGGATTTGAATAATTGGGCAGCTTTTAATAAAAGTTTTTTATTTATTAAGTTAATAGTTCAAAAAACGGAAGTTCGTTCTGGTTTTGGAGAAATTGAGTTTTGGGGTTTTATGTTTCTTGTTTGAATACGGCAAATAACTAACTAGAGTAGGCTATAAAAATTAAAAAAATGACAACTTACCCCCATAAAACTTCTTTTCAAAAAGTATTCCAAGGAACTCAAATCCATCTAGATCGACTACAGTCTTTGTTGGTAAAGTGCGATAACTCCACATCCACACAACCCATTTTACAAAGTTTTATCTTTTAAACTGTCCACTTCCTGATCAACTACTTTTACATAAAGGTGCTTTTCAAGTTATTGCATCAGAGTTAAACAAGACTGATAGCAGCATATCTAGGAGTGGTTGCGATAGAAAAGTTTTGGTTGATCACTTTTTATTTTATTAAATCGTATAAAGAATTGATTCATTATGATGGAGAAGGTATTAAACATTTTCAACAACTTGCAACCTACATGTCAGAAACATTTGAAATCAATATTAAAGGTAAATTAAATAGCAGAAAATAAATTAATTTTTTTGTTAGTTGTTGTGCAAAGAAATTTTGTAAAAAAGATTAAAACTTTAATTACTAAAATTGTTATTAAACTAAATCTTCAACTTTTCAGTATTCCAATTGGTTTACAAGAGGAAGAACGTCAACAACTTAAATGGGAAAGGGAGGTAATAAAAAAAAATTTAAAGGAAACTGCAAAAGTTGTTCGTTCCGCACAGTCCATTACCAGAAAACCTTCAAATAGAGGATCAAGATCTTGTGGGGCACTTCTTGGCTATGCTCCCCGAAAAAATCAGTGCGAAAGGCATACCTTACGATATAACCATTCGACCATATTCAGTTGAGTTATTTGTTTGAACGATATTTGTTAAAACCGTTTAATTCCATTCCACTGTCGACTTCCACCGTTCCAATATACTTTTAAAACAAATTTGGGAATACTTAACCAACAAAAATTAACGAAGAGACAAAACCAGGATAACGGTCTCAAGTTTTTAACCTGAATAATAAAGCTTTTAAAAGGAAAAGAAATGAAAAAATGAATTGTCATTTACTGGAATGATTAGAACAGATCTTGTTGGAGTTTCATTTAATATAGGTCCCCCACCTTCAAAAGGTCGAAAAGAAAAAAAATAGAATCAAGTTTAACGGTCCGAGTTCCGTGATTTATCTCAATGACGCTACTGTTGGTTTGGTCAAGGAAAACTTGTTGTGATCGATCCAAACAAGAGAGACCTACTTTACTGCCTTGGTCCAATGGGGAGAAAATTCGGTACACCCAACGAGTCCATGAAACGTTAACAAAAAAGTATAAGAGGATTCGAGAAGGGCTGACAATAGATGCTCGAATGAATGCCAATCCGATGGAAGTTGTTGTTCCCCATACAACCTGTGACACTGCCGCTTTCAACATATACCTTCGCAGTTTCTTTTCTGAGGATTCCGACAGAAAACAACGATTTTATGGTGGTCCGATTTTCCGAAAACTTTGATTAAACACCTTTTACCAACACGAAAAAGTCGAAGGAAAAGTTCATCGAAAACTTCAAGAGTTCATATGGAGACGGTCGACAAACTGCGGTTCTTATTGGGGATTGGGACTCAGGAGGTCATACCTTGAGAGGTCAAGTTACGACCAAGGGAAAGGGATTTCGGTAAGAAAACTTCCCACTCTATATTTAATCATTTAATCTTTATTATTTATTAGGGAGCTGTTTCGTAGGGCTGGGTTTGATGTTTTGTTGTTGGAAGAATACAAAGACGTCAAAGGTATGTCCAGGTTGTGAGGGGAGACGCTGGAGACTTTCAAAAGGAGGGAGAATCCAAAACCGTGGAGGAATGATGAAGTGACTGTTCATGGGTTGTTGTGCTGCCAAAGCGAAATTGTTAACAAGCATGTGGTCACCCATTAAGGTTGTGGAATAGGGATGACGTTGCAACTTTGAATCAAAGGTCAATAGTTGAGTCAATGTTAGCTGGTGAATTTCGTCCCGTCAGGTTCCAAAGAGCTAATCTTCCTGAGTAGTTTTCGCTACTCTTGCCAAATGGTGTTAAAGACAGCTTAATTTATTTTTGTCCCGATGTTAAAAAACATATTGTCCAAGCACTAGTTACCTACAGTAAGTGCAGTTTTATGTTGGTAATACAATTAATTTAATACTTCTCCTCTTATCTTTATTTCATTCTCTTCTTTTTGTTAAATTTTATGTAATGTTTTTGACAAACTTGGAGGTGGATTTAAAAAATTTTTGAAAATAATGATTAATTGAAAAAATCTGAAAACTTGTCTGGTTTTATCGAATAGTTCAATTATATTTAGAATTGGTATCGATGGAAAAAATATTATGAAATTAGTTTATTTCATAAATACAGTAAAATAAGCTATAAATTATTAATATTTGAACTAAAGGTAAAAGAAGATTGAACTTCCACAGAATGAAAATATTGCAGAGGTGAACTTGGCATTTCCATTAGTTGTGAAACCCGCCTTGTAAGCAGAACATCCATAGTTCAACCCATAAGATTCCTTTTCAAAAAAAATTATAAATTATACAAAACTAATTTTAGTTAAAGTCTTGATTTAAAATTAAACCATCATTTAAGTAAAAAGCAATCAAAAAGAATAAAAAGGTTTATCGGTCATGCCTTTTTTAAAGGAAAAAAATTTTTTTAAAATAATAAATACATTCCAAAAAAAATTTATTGAGAAATCCCATCAAAAACAATTGTTAAAAAATATATTGTAGTAAGATGCTAAACAATTATAGCCCCAATGGCGTAGTGGTAACGCGTTTGCCTTGTAAGCAAAAGATCCATAGTTCAATCCTGTGTTGGGGCAATTTTTTTCAATTTTTTTTTTTGCTCAATTAACATTCCTGTTTTTCTGCACAATTATTTTTTCCCACTTTATTAATATATTTTAGATTTTTTCCAACTTTAATTTACCATTGACCATTTTAATCACCAGTATTTGATACATATACACAACTCGATATTGATGAGTCAATAAACTTAAAGCAACAATGCAAGCGGTGTCCAGACTACATATTATTTGCAAATAAAATTTCAAATTTGTTTTTAAGTACAATAAAAAAAAAGTTACTTGTCTCTTTGTAAAGGTTTTCTTGATTTTTTCATTGAAATTAGGTGAGCTTTTGGCTTTTCTAATTCAACAATAGACTTTTGCAGATAAAATTCCCTGTTTTGAATGTTTTTGGTTGAGCCATGATAAGATTTAAAGTTGAAATGGATGTTGATTCTAAAGGAACTAACAGCGTTTCCTTGTTCTTTTACTGTAGTGTCCCCTCAGAGTTTCAAGTAAACGCAGTGTAAATCATTGTTGGCATGTTCTACTGGATTTTTAAATGTAAATTCTAGTGGGTTTCTATTGTTTTCCAGTGTTTCAAAGTCAAAAATTTTATTAAATAATCTTTTACCACTTTCTAATTGAGAAGAAAGTATTCTGTACTATTTGGAGAATTTTTTCTTATCGTTCTCTGTATTTTAGTACCATACGCATTAGATGTTGATTTATCAAGAATTAACTTTCAGTTATATATAGTAAAGAAAAAAAAAAGTACGCTGAAAAAGGGTAGATAAAGTCACTATAAAATTAATTGAGTGATGAATAATATAATAAAAATATGATATAGGAGAAATACATTTAAGATTTAATCTATCATCTTATATTAAGTTATAGAGAATATTTTAATGAAATTTAAAGTAAATTAAAATACAAAAAAAAACGAAAATGATATTAAAATGGTGTAAAAAAATTTTCTTTTTCGAGTTCTTATTTTCTTCCAACCATGGCCAGTACTTTGGTTTTAAAGGAATATAACTTTTAGTATCAAAAGATATTCTGGACCAATCAGGTACTGGATATACTTTTCGATTAGTAGGATAACCTCCATTTAAGGCTATTTCAAATGGACATTCTGCGCCTAGAGAAACAGCTGCCAGTAATCCTGACGTTAAACCTAAAGGAGTTAACTTTTTTATATTTTTTATATTTTAAAACTAACCATCTTCATGAAACCCATAATTAGTCCATGCTCCAGTGAACGATGCAAAGTTATTATTCTGAATGGAATTCAACTTTTCTTGGGCTTCAACAGTCTAAATATTGGAATTTAAAGTTAAAAATTTCGCTACATTGTATAGTATATTTAACCTTTTCATTATAAAGTGGATGAGAATATTCCCATTCACCCAAGATCAATTCCGATTTCGGCTGCGTAAGAGGATTCAAAGTTACAAAAACGTCCCCATAGGTTTCTTTATCAATAAACTTTTGAAGCTTATTCATCCAATAAGTTAAACATAAGGAAGTATCACTTTTTTTTCCAGAACTGACTCTTTCAGTCAAATAATTCCAACTAGCCCAGCAATTCTTTCTTTTTGGCATTAAGCGTGGATCCCGGTGAAGCGTACATTTATTTTTAATATATTGGATAGAATTCAAAATTTCAAATTCCAGCTCACTGCAATCATTTTCTTCTTTTAAAATTTTCAAAGCTTGATCAGTGTGGACTGCAAATATAACGTGATCAAATTCTAACACTTCCTTCTTAGTCTTCAGTAAAACTACTGGTTCTCCAATAACTTTTCTTCGTTTGATAGAATATACTGAAGTGCTTAAATTTATTTTCACATTTCTTATAGTTTTTAAAATAGCGTCGATGTAACTCTGAGATCCATTATTTACAGTTTTCCATTTTGGTCTATTTCCTATTAAAAAGTAAGCAGTATGAATTTAAAAAAAAAAATATATATATATACCTATTTGTAACAATTGGTGATTTCTCATAAATTTTACTAAAGTAAGTAAAGGAAAGTCTTTTAATGCTCCTGCTGGAGTGCTCCAAATTGAAGCTGTCATTGGAAGCAAGTAATCTTCATAAAACGCTTCAGAATAGTTATTCGCGTGCAAAAATTCTTTGACGCTAATTAATTTTTTTATTTTAAAAGAAAACATGTGCTTGATAAATTAATGGATAAATAATTTCTTTTTGCAAATTATACCTCATTTTTACAAATCGCTCATCAGAATCGTTACCGTTATTCTCAAATTTTAATTTATCATTATAATTTGAAACTTCTATTGCTTGAGAGTGAAATTTCATTATGTCTTTTAACATCATGAAAAATTTCAAATTAAAAAGGTTTGATGTTTGAGAAAAAACAGTTCTTAAATTTGTTCCTGCCCATTCAAATTCGCCAAAATTTTTTGAAACTGAAAACGACATATTTGATTCAATTAATTCTACGTTCAAATTCTAACCAGTAAAAATTTTTAAATTTTTTAAATTTTTTAAATTAACTCAGATATTTATGAATATTAATTACCGTCATAAAATTTAAAAAATTTGGATAAGTAACAGGATTGCAGACAATAAATCCTTAAAAGATTAATTTTGAAACCAAAAAAAATAGAAAAAAATTGTTACCTGTATCGACTCCAGTTTTAATTTTTGAATTATTAAGAGACGAAATTTGTACAGTATGAGTATGACCACCAAGTTTACTTTCTGCTTCAAAAAGAGTCACTTCAAATTTATCTGGATGTTTTGCCAATAACCAGGTAGCAGATAAACCACTGCATCATAGATTAACGTATTAGCAGATATGAATTTGGTATTCTTGCCTGATACCACTTCCAATAATAGCAATCTTTTTAATATTTTTTGACATGAATTGAAAAAAAAGTGGAAAAAATTTATGATAATTTACTGCTGCATTGCTTTCATCTTAATTATAATTAAAAAACTTGTTGTTAAAAAATATTTAATCCCACAACTTCAATCACGGAATTTAGTATCTATTTACATTGCTAAAACTATTCATTCAAGATTCTTTCCAGTTAAAAGAACTTTCTCATACCCTCTCTTTTATTTTGGAATCAAACTCTTTGATCATTCCCAGGCAAACTATGGTTTTCCCAAATGGCTCTTCTCAGTAGACCGCGACAATTTTAGTATATTTTCTCTGAAATCAAAAGATTACTTGTTTAGTGAAGAAGAGAACTTTAACGTAAAGTTGTGCTTAATGAAAATTTTAGAAAAAAATATGGTAGTTTTTTTAATAATAATTCAACTGGACACTAAATAATTTTACTTTTTTTTTCTTTTTTTTTCTTAAAAATAATACGTTAATTAAAAAAACATTTTAAATTTTTATGTAGAATATAGATACCTTTGATATAGGGGAAGTAATATTAGTGACCACACCAAGATTTTTTAATTACTCTTTTAATCCTTTAAGTTTATACTACTGTTATTCCCATGAACAAAAAGAAGAATTAAAGTTGGTTGTTTTAGAGGTTCATAATACTTTTAATGAAAGACACTTGTATATTTGTAATGATACTACAAAACTAAAGAAAACGAGGAGTGGGTAGGTTTCATAAATAAACTAGGAAAACTCTTTTTTCTTTTTTAATTTTTTTAAAAATTTCTATTTTTATTAATAATATTAACAACTGTAGATTTCATTCAAGCTATAGAGTCAACAGGTCGTTTCATGTTTCCCCTTTCAATAACAGAAGCGGTTGTTATGAAATACATTTAACAGATATTAAAAAAAAATATTTTGAATGTTCTATGACAATTAAAAATTATCAAGAAACAAAGGATGTGAAAAAAGACAAAGATTTCAAAAGATTTTTTGCTCAAGTAAAAGGTATCCCTTACAATTTTAATATCCTCAGTGGGCTTTATACAGGGCTAGCGTAAATAAAAAAAAACCCCATTTCTTTCATTCTATTTTTATTTAGAATAATCTGAGTTAAACCTTAACAAATTTTTTATAAAAAAAAAAAATTCTAGTTTTCCGGTTAATGTTTTTCTAACATCACCAAGAATTTTGTATCAAGCATTCTTAGTTTATTACTATCACAAATTAAAAGTCTTCCAACGACCAAATCCCATTTCAAAGTTAACAAATTTTGGTTCAACCATAAAGACAAAAAATTTAAACGTTATTCAAGAATTCAAATTTCGTTTGGTTTTGAGAGGACTATATTCAATTTGCAAATTGAAACCATATCATTCTTTAAAAATATATCAAGCAAACTCTTTGTCAGAGAAAATTATTCTAAACGAAACCCCAGAACGAGAAATAATTGAAATTTACATAATCAACAATAACTTTCTTGCAGGGTTTTTTGATATTTTAATATATGCAATGAGCGAAAATGGCCTTGAGAACTTAAACAATTTTTTGCTAAAAAGCTTCGTAAAAGGAGATTTTTTTTGTAACAAAAAAAATTTAAAACTATTTTTACTAGTAATTTTTGCAAACTTTGACAATTTAAAATTCAACGTCTCTAAAGACATCTTAGCAATTAAAAACAACAACATAGGAGCTGAAGTCAATTACGATATTGAAAACTCTTGGTTAAAGTTACATAAGGTTAAGTTTTACAGATTTAAAGAACTCAGGCATAGTTTAAATTTAATGGCAGAAAAATTTTTTAATCAATTTATTAATTTTGTTGAACATCCCTTACACCTGGACAAGAGAATTGAGTCTTACCATAAAAATTATAATTCTCCACAAACAAAAGACCAACTAAAGGGTTTGGTTCTGCAAGAAAATGATATTCCAATGTTAGGATATCTAATTGAGTTTCAAATTGATGATTTAATTTTTTGGGAGAATTTAAGATATTGTGTATTTTCTAAAGTACTACAGGAATTTAAAGACAATGAGATCACAGGTTTTTAATTCAAAACTGAAATAAAAAAAAAGTTTAAAAATTTTTTTTGATTTTCATTTTTTCAACTTTTAAGGAGAATATTTATTTAAAAATGAAATAATTGCATTTAGATATTAAAT